GAGAGAGAGAGAGAGAGAGAGAGAGAGAGAGAGAGAGAGAGAGAGAGAGAAGAGTACTGCACAACCAAACAAAGCTTTGGCCCCTTGATTATGGTCCTTATCTTCTCAGTAAGGATATTTGAGCTCCTTGCTGTTTCCTGAAACTCCAGGAACTAAAGATGGAGAACTTGGAGTCAGGAATGAGCCCTCATCTCACTGTACAGCAGGGAACCTGAGGTTCCGGAATGACTTAGTACAGCTCTCTTGTCGGCCCCTGAAATCTCATTTTCTGCCCTATATGCCTCTTTGTGATTCTCAGCCCTCCTCTGCTGATTTAAGGAGACCTGCTCCTCTCCTATCTTTTCTTCCTTGGGAAGGAGAACTGTATCCCTTGGAACTTTTGCTGTCAGAAGCAACAAAAAACATAGTCCAAATCGGCTTTCATAAGTTCACATAAAAGTGTGGGATGAGGTAGGACTGGATGGAGTTGGTCATGGCTGAATTGGGGGCCTCCAAAGTCCTCAGGAGGTGATCCGTTTCCATCTTAGATGCATCTCTGCTTTTTCTAAGTCTGGCTTCTTTCTCCGGCTCCATATGTTGGCATGATGACTGCATTAGTCCCTTCCAATTTCATGTCTGGGTGGAAAGAGAGAACCTGTCTTTCTCTTAGTAGCCCCAGAAAATGTCTCCCTGGGTCTGGCTTAGATTAGCACACATGGACAATCATGAACCAACGCCATGGACAGGGGAAGGCAGTTCTTTAGCCAAGACTGAAGTGATCATGCTCTTGAATCTGGAGTAGAAGTCAGCCCAAAGTTCATTTGGGAGAAGGTTGTTTCTAAGAGAAAAATCTAGGTCTGTTATCAAAAGAAAAGGGAGCAGAGGTGGGCTGTGCAAAGAGCAGCCTGAAAATTATCCATTGCAAGGATCATAGATGTCTAAAGGAAAAATATGGTAATTTGGTCAATCAACTCCATAAAGTAAGAAAGTAAGTATGAATGCATGTATGTAATATGGGTGTGTGTGTGTGTGTGTGTGTGCGCGCGCGCGCGTGCGTGCGTGCGCATGCACGTGCGCGGGTGCATGAATGCATGTGCTGGTAAGGATGCTGGTCAAACACACTAACTTTGGAATCAGATCAAATCCTAATTCTAGCAGTAAGTAATTCTTTGACTTTCTGACGAGTTACTTATGCTTTTGGATCGCTTTAGATTTATGCTGCAAAGACTTGGGGTTGAGTTAACTCAACATAATTTCTAAAGAAATAAGTACTTTACTAACAGCCTCATTTGTCTAGTCTTGTTTACTTCTGCCATAAATAAAAACAATACTTCATGATAATTTAATAATTGCTTAAAAACATTTGCTGCACTCTTAGCTAGAATTTTGAGAGTTGTCCAGAATTCTACTTTTCCAAGTTACCCGCTGTGTTTCAGAAGAAGAAACTGCTTTTCCTTCCCAGATATATCTCCTCCACTGTCAAAGACCCTTCTTGGGAAAATAAGTTTTGCTTAAGTGTACCGAGAATGACTGTGTATTCATGAAGAATGAGATGATTTGTCTTTTCAGTGAAAACATCTTTTGCTGCATTAGCTTATGCCCTGCCCCAGGAATCTATTAGTCCACAAACTTTCACCTTCCCACAAATGTTTCAACAGCTGAGATGCAAAGTCCCATTCAGAGACAAATGTGCACACCACATTTATAGTCTGAAGTTCAACCTTCAAGCTTTGCTTGATTAGAATGAACATTATGATGCATTGTTAGTCTTTTCATTTCAATAGCAGTCAGTAAATTTATACCACAACCCATTGCCCATTTCCAAACAACATTCACACAGTTTTTGTGAATTTTAACCAAATCGCATCTACATATTTACCAAACTCTGTAGGTGCCCAGGGCATGTGGCATACAAGGCTGGCACACATGCACATATACACGGGAAGTCACACACATACCTTTGTGACCATTAGGAACACATTTCTGATTCTGTTCTGTAAAAAGTACTTCAGGAGGTGTCCCTCTACCTCAAGTGCCATTACTGGGAAGTAATTAGCACAGAGCCTATCATGGTAAGGGAGCGCAATAATGTGAGCGGCATAAAAATGATTGTAGTTATTATATAATTTTAATTATCAAACAGTATCTTTGGTAATGTTAATTCTGTTGGGCCTTTTATTTTTCTACCGTGGGAAATGTGGATCTCACCCATGTTTAGATCCACCACTCAAGCTATCTCATTGAACCAAAGAAAGTGAATGCAGTTGTTATTAATATTCCTACAAATTAATCTAGAATAAATACATATCTTTGGTGGATATTTACAGACTTCTTCCCCTGAAAGTTTCCTATACTCGAGCTAACGTGCCTCATAGCGAGTTATGGCTGTCACTGACGGAACATTGCTCCCTGGCAGCCCTGCTGAGGACACTCTTTCTGTCCGTCTCTTACAGGGGGCATGTCACTAACCGTATCATTGACTTTACTCATCACGTTTATGGTTTTCTGTTTGCCTTTCCTTGCCAGAATATAAGCTCCATTAAGACAGGATTCTTTGACTCTTTTGTTGAGTGATGTATCCCAGGCATCTCGAACACTATTTCTTTCTTTCCCAAATGACATTGAAAAGAAATAAAATAGTAGATTCAGATTTATAGTGTTTCTGGGATAAGAGCGACTGTGTTTCAGGTAAGAGAGGGAATGAAATGTTGACATTGGCTAACCCTCTTTCATGGCCTCACTATGACCTTTTTCCTACCTTACTGCAATTGGGAATGGGCGCCTGTACCGACCTAGTCCTTGTGGGGTTCCGAGTGCAGAATGAGAAGACTGCATCAATTCCTGTGAGTTGGTGTATTGGTTGTGTAGTGGGAACTGAGTAGATAAAAGAGGAAAAATGCTATCATGTCTTTAATCACCCAAACTCAAAACTTCTTTCATGTGAGGACATGATATTCATTTACTCTTGCTGGGCAGACACCGAGGTCCTCTAATGCTTCCTTCCCCGCTTCTTCCTGGCACCA